CTCACCTGACCACTCCCTCAAAACATGCCTCCTGTTTGCCACTTGCCTTAGACCTTATTTTTCCTTGATCTGGAACAATCTTATTAATGATATCTCTCCATCTGCATATTTCAAAAATGTTTCCTCTTTGAAAGTTCTCAAACTTACATCTTTCCTCCCTAAGAATACCTTCAGGATTTTAAAATACTCCAATAGTTATTACAATGCCTTGATCTTAATCACTTGCCTAATTAATCTTATGCCGCTCACACAGGGATTTCCTATTATCTTTATCTTTGTATGACACTAGCACTAAGAGTCAAAAATAGTGTAAGCAACATAGTAGTGTCTATTAAAATTTTAAATATATATAACTCCAAGACACAGTAACTCTTATGGCTGACACAAACCCCACAGGAAATTCTGCATTATGCAGGAGCCATCCTTACAGGTTATTTATTATCATGAAATAGTAAAAATAGTCTATAAATGTCCATCAGTGGGGGATGGCCCACTACACTGTGGGTCAGCTATTTTCTGAAATGGTACTACACAGTCATTACAAAAAAGAGGAAAGATCAACATCGCCACAGAAGATTGTGTTTAAAAAAGATAACACAGGCATATATTTTCACAGCTTAAAATATACATATGCAAATGCATTGCATTGTCTCTTTTGGTGGAGTCTAGGGTCATGAAAAGTCAAAGGTGAGAGGAACTTTAGCTCTGCTTGTGAGGTTTGAATTTGCTAATAGCGTAATAAATTTATTACTCAATAGTTTCAAATCAATTAAGGGAGTATATGAAACCATTTACAAAATAAACACTGTTTAAATTCACATAGACTAAATCTTACCTTTGCAAAAAGCTTTCTTTTGCTAATTGAATTTGTAGTGTTCCACCTTTCCATTTTGTTTTATTTAGAACAGACATACCTATAGAGTAAAGAATTATTACCCAATTACATGGCAATGCAAAATACATTTCAGAATGTGATTTTTCTATTCAGTACATACCAAGGAAAGTAGACTTGTTAATGACAAATATACAGAGAAAACAGAATAAGGAATCTGAGATATGGAGTGAAAGGGCCTAGATACTGATCTCACTTTGACCACTTACTAACGGAACCCTTGAATTCCCTACCTCCCTGTGATTGGAAGATATACTTGAGCCAAATGTGTAAACTACAAAGCAAAAATTTTTGCCATTTGTTTATAAAGTAATTAGAAATTTCTAGTAAATGATTGATATTAGCATTTCTCACACTAAAACTATAAAATATTCATGTAATTTTCCTAAGGGGAATTAGAGGACATTTTGAAATTCTGTAGTACCTCACCTTTTCATGACCTCGTATACTTATTACTATGTAACTTCAAAACTAGCTCCAAGTGAGTAAACTGTGTTTGAACTGCTATGCCCTAGCAGCTGATTTTTCTCAGTATTTGCTATCCGCCTCATTAATAATAACCACTAATAGAGTAGATTGTTGTTAGGTACTATTTTAAAATACAAAGGTACTTTTCAATTTAACCTTCACAGCAATATTCTGAGGAAAGCAATGTCTTTGTCACACATTGGATAAACAAACTGGGGCTTAGAAGTTTAAATTAACTTGCCACAGGTCACACATCAGAGCTGATGTGTTCTTAACCACAACTCATTTGTTATACATACTTTCTCACTTAACAATAGAATTAAAGTTTTGTTTTTGTTTTCTCTCAAATGAAATAAAAAGAATGATAACACTCTTTCTCTATTAGCAGTATCTCTTGCCTTTTCAGCTTCCAAATAACTAGAATACATTACTGCATCAGTGGCAGTATGGGTTATCTCCCCTTTCGTCTTCAATAGAGACTGCAGTTTGCTGTCAGCTTTACTAAACTGATCAATTGAGATTTCATAATTTCAAGAATATGGTCTTATATGGGCATACACTAAATCCAGTCCTCTAACAGCACTCAACCACAAGAAAATAACCTCCCTAAGAAATAAATACACTGGGGAAAGGGATGGGAGTATGGCATAATATCCAGTAGAATATATATAATAGGCAATTTCTATGAAAGTTTTGTCTCTTGTCCAATGTATTTTAGAAAACCATTTTTGAGTAAACTCATTAGCAATGTGCTATTACATATCTGCTGACACCAAATGGTATTAAACTAAACCTGCTGAGTTGTAGGATACCAGAATTCTCTTGATCATGGTTGCCCCTCTGGATGACTTAAAAAGTGGCTGTTGAAATTCAGATTTGGAATGAAGTTTTCCAAGTTACACAGTGACGTAAACTGGCCAATAATATAGAAAACATCTTACATTTTTTCAGGTCTGTTTCTGCTACTCTGATGTTGATATATGCAAAAACTTTCTGTGGGTTTCCTAAAAAAATAGAAAAATAAATTAATTTAAAACTTGATCCAAAGAACAATGTAAAAATGATTCAGTTTCTAAATGTTAAAAACAATGAGCTCTTGGAAACCTACTCTTTCAAAGAAAAACCTTGTTTATTTTTCACTGGACACAAAGATTGCATTTTTCCAAATATGATTATCAAAATATTCCAAAATAATGAGTTACAAAATATCAAGTGGTCAGTTAATTATGTTATGTTGTTATATGTTATGATTCCATGTTAGTGATATTCTACTAAATAGGACACTCAATGAATATTATATGTTAGCTCTGAAAACTGAAAGTTACATGTTTCAGAAATTGCATGTTTTAGAATTTAGATCATTTTTGATTTCAGGAATGTAATTCTGGGCAAGTTCCACAGCATAAGTTTTACCTCCAGGACATAGGGCAGGGTATGCAGGATGGTGCCTTACAATGATACACAAATCACTTTTAATGTTCCTGGCTAACCTTCATCCCTGTAGTTCCTTTATTTTGTGATAACTGACCCAGTTAGATCTGCCTTTAACTACCCATGAAGGACTGTAACGTTACCTTGGTCATCTTTCCGAGTGATGATCTCCACATCAGAAACTTCTCCAAATCTGCTGAACTGATTTTGTAGGTCCAGCTCAGAAACGTTCTGGCCAAGGCCACCCACAAAAAGGCGCTTTGTTTCTCTGTTGGCTTTCATAAAGGCTGCACACAGTGTGTTGTAGTAGGAAAAATAATTTTCTATCTCCAGAAAAGAGTCCTTTCCATTAGTTCTTCTCAAACCTAAAAAAATATTTAAAAAAGAAATGAAACCCAATTCTTCACCTTGAACCTTCTATGCTAAACTGGTCGCCTGAACTTCCACTATTATATTGTTTCTAAATTTTATCCCTGGAGATTATTACGGTCAAGCTCTATATGCACTTTCTCCATGAATCCACTTTGGAACAGCACCTCTACAGATAGACACAGGTATGGCAGGTGCTTTGATGCTTTCCCTCAAATGAGCACAATATTCATTTACTTAGCCACCTTGTTAGACTTTTTTCTTTTATTCACTTACTCACTTTAACAAATCCTGACGGAAATGGAATGTGGCAGGTCAACATGCTAAAGGATTAAAAAAAGAAGGCGCTCCATTCTGGTGTCCTCACAGCCATGTGAGAAGTAAAGGATGCAATTACAGCACTGTCACAAGAGGAATGCCTGCAAAGTGCTGTTCAGGCAGAGAGAGCAACCGATATCATCGCTAATACAGACTTGTTTTTTTGTTTGTTTTTACTATGTGCCAGCATTGTTTGACAGTTTGCCTGCATCTCATTTTTCAGATGAAAAGGAGATGAAGTTACTTTCCTAATGCCATCCAGAGAATTACCAAAGCCAGAATTACAAACCAGGTCTAATTTAAGAATCTTTAATGTATAACTACACCAGGAAAATTGCTGGATTAGAAGGGGCTCGGGAAAACTCTTCCAGAGGTACTAAACTTGGAAGCCCTTTATGAGATCTCTAATCTCGTTTAGCACCCACAAGCACCCAATACCACACCCTGCTTTTCCCAAAGAGCTGAGATTCCTCCCAGTCTACATCCCAAAACAGCTCTCAGAAACCCAACGCATGCCTCGTGTTCTGGGCAAGAGGCACACCGTACATCTCCCTGGTAGACTCCCCTGTCCGCAACCTACCCACCCCAGCCTTCTTCCCCCTGAAGACCCAAAGACAAGAAGGGACAGAGGAGGCCAAATGGCCCCATCAATTCCCATTCTCTAAAACCGCTGCTCACCACCACGTCTCTCCACCAGCGCCGCTTCCACCCCTAACTTCTAGTCACGTGTCTCACTAGGCGTAATCTCTATTCCTTCCTACTCGATTTCCAACCCAGCCTCCTAAGGTTCCGTTACCACATTCAGCTCCCTAGAGCTCTTTATTTCGTTTCTCACCCAGGATACTGCGATGTCTCCACCATTGAACACCCTAAAAGGACCCAAACCATAATTCTATAATTTCTACTTAAGAGGGTTAGTTATTGCCATTTACCCACATCTAGACTAGGTCTGCATAAGCGAGGCGAAAATTACGAGAACCTTCACACGGTGCCGGAAGCTACTCTTTCCTGAAGTACGCATCCGGGCCGTCCCAAACTTCACAAGCGTAGGTTGGGCTGTTGTGCCCTTTGGCTTCGGGTTGGAGCGAACTTACTCTCTCCAAGCATAGGGACTGCTGGGGAACAGTTTGTCAGCATGTTAAAGAACAGAAACGAGCTCAGGATACTTTGCAAGGTATGGTTGTACTCACTGACGATGCTTATACTCCCTTGCCTCCCCACGGAACTCCTGGGATGGTCCGCCCCAGGAGCGCGCGAGACTTTAAGTGCCGGGCGTAGCACCGGTTCGGTTCGCCGGGCGAATTTCTGCTAGAGCAGCCGTATGGACCCTATGGAGGCGGAGGTCCACGCCTTAGAAGCGGAGATCGCGGCCCTGAAGCTGTTGTGGGAGGAGCTGCTGGCGCCGGCGGAACTCAGCGCTTCAGTCCAGTACGTGGCGGTCCTCAGGTCCTGTGGGTCGGCAGAATGTCTCTCGGGCGGTCCGAACCTCCCTGCAGAAGTTTCCGAAGGACCAAACGTGGGCAGAAACGCAAATCTGTGATAACGGTCTAGGATGATAAGTCCTTGTGGAGACCCAGTTAGTTATGAGCGTGTGGCAACGTGCTAACTTGTTTAAATTGCACCGCTCTAAGGGAAGTAGGGGAAGTGCCTGTCTAAAGGACAACAGAGCGGTTTTGCACTAACAGGCAGGGATAAATGAAGAGAACTATCTGCCACAGAGCGGTGGTATCTTAACGTCTTTGTTACTTCGTAATAGGGCCCATCGATTACTTAGTGCCAGATTGAGAAAGGCAGGCAAAGATCTTTCTTTATGTGCATCATCTCTTTTAGTACCTATGACAATCCTCTAAGGTAGGTGCTATTTTTAATCCTGTCTTAAAGTTAAGGAACCTGAGGCTCAGTGAGGTTTCCGTAAGTTGCTTGCCCAAGGTCTCGGAGAAAGTAACCCAAGAGTCTATCTTTAAAGCCCAGGCACTTTGTTTACCTGGAGGGGGGGAGAAAGGGTCTATGTACCTATTGACTCAAACTTGTAAGCTACCCTAAAGCAGAGACTATCTTCGTTTTTTTCAGTCAAAGACTAATTTGACAGGTACAAAGAGAACGAGGTTTTCCTGAGCTAACGGGGCAAGAAAATGAGGGGTTCTAAAGAAGATGTTTGCATGCACGTTGGATGAGGTCATGAAGTTGTAGAAGAAGCTGTAACTGGTGAAAGGGAGAGGGAAGCAGGTGAACAGGGAACAGATATGTTCCTCCACAAGTGCAGGTGCTATTTCAGGGGTACTCCACAGATTGGAAGCAGTTGTATTACTTGGGAGTTGGACAGAAATACAGATTTGGCTTCACCTCCACCCACTAAGTCAGAATTTGCACTCTTAAGAAGCTCCCCACACTATTTTGTGCACATTTGAAAATTTGAGAAGTGCTGCATTATACTGTGGGGAAAAATTTTGTTGCTCTAACTGGCCACAAGATGTTATTAAACCAGAACAGTATGTAGACTGTTATTGTAATCTGGGCCTTCTCAATGATCAAGTTGGGAAAGTTGGAAGAGTCCAAATTATGGATGACATTAAATATTAGTTCAGGGCATTCAGATTTAATGTGAGGTTTCTTTTCACTATGGTGTAGAAGGAAGATTGGGATCTGTGTACCAAGTTTCTTTGTTCTTTATTTGTGGTGAAATACCATAGATTTTATCACCTTAACCATTTATAAGTGGGCAGATCAGTGATGTTACATACATTCATAATACTGTGCAATCATCACCACCATCTGTATAATTTTTCATCTTGTAAAACTGAAACTATACCCTTCAAACCACATTCCCCACTTTCCTTAGCCTCTGACAACCACTATTCTCCTTTCTCTGAATTTCTTTTCGAGGTACCTTGTATAAATGGCTTCATACATGTTTGTCTTTGGGTGACTGACTTATACACTTAGCCTAATATCCTCAAGATCACCCATATTATATGGCAGAATTTCCTTCCATTTTCAAGCTGAATAATCATACGTACATACATTTTGCTTATTCTTCTGTCGATGGATGATGTTTGGGTTGCTATCCTGTAGCTATTGGGAATAATGCTGGTATGAATATCGGTGTAGAATTATCTCTGAGACCCTGCTTTTAATTCTTTTAGATATACTCGGAGATGTGGAATTGCTGGATCATATGGTAATTCTATTTTGAACTTTTTGAGCACCCCCAGTAGTGTTTTCCACAGTGGTTGTACCATTTTACATTCCTATCAGCAGTCCGCAAAGGTTACAGCTTCTCGAACATCCTCTCCAGCACTCTTCTGTTTGTTTTTTTAAAAAATATTGGTCATTTCTTTTGTTGTTGTTGTTTTTAAGATTTTATTTATTTATTTTTAGAGAGGGGAAGCAGGGAGAAAGTGAGGGAGAGACATTAGTGCGTGGTTGCCTCTCGTGCACCCCTTACTGGGGACCTGGCTGTAACCCAAGCATGTGCCCTAAACTGGGGATCCAATCTGCGACCTTTTCGTTTGTAGGCCAGCACTCAATCCACTGAGCCACACCAGCCAGCGCTGTTTTCTGATGTTTTTTAAAAATAGCAGTTCTTATGGGTATGAGGTTGTAGCTCACTATAGTTTTGTTTTGCATTTTCCTAATGGTTGAAGATGTTGAGCATTTTTTCATGTGCTTATTGGTCACTCATATATCTTTGGAGAAATGTCTAGTCACATCCTTTGCCTCTTTTTGAATCATGTTTTTTTTTTGTTGTTGTTGTTGAGTTTTAAGAATGTTCTATACATTTTCCATATTAATCTCTTAACAGATATGTAGTTAGCAAGTATTTTCTACCATTCTGTGGGGTGGCCTTTTACTGTGTCAATACTATCTTTTAGTGTACAATTTTTTTTCTTGAAGTCCACATTTTTTTGTCTATTTTTTCTCTTGTTACCTGTGCCTTGGCTGTCACATCTAAGAAATCATTGACAAGTCCAATATTATAAAGCTTCTTTCCTGTATTTTATTTGAAAACCTTTGTTACTTTAGTGTTACATTTAGACCTTTTATCCAGTTTGAGTTAATTTTTGTGTATGATATTAGATAGGAGTTCAACTTCATTTTTTGCATATGGCTATCCAGTTTTCCCACCATCATTGAATGGTATCAGCGCGCTTGTCAAAAATTATTTGACTACATGTGCAACAGTCTATTTCTGAGCTTTCTATTTTTGTTAATATATTTTATTGATTATGCTATTACAGTTGCCCCATTTTTTCCCCCTATATTCCCCTCCACCCTGTATCCCCTCTCCCACCATCATTCCCCGACCTTAGTTCATGTTCATGGGTCATACATATAAGATCTTTGGCTTCTCCATTTCCTGTACTTTTCTTAACTTCCCCCTGCCTATTTTGTACCTACCACTTATGCTTCTTACTCCCTGTACCTTTTCCCCCCTTCGCCCCCCTCTCTCTCCCTGCTGATAACCCTCCATGTATGTGATCTATATTTCTGTGAGTCTATTTCCATCCTGGTTGTTTGCTTAGTTTTTGTTTTTGTTTTTTTTTTTTTTTTAGGTTCAGTTGTTGATAGTTGTGAGTTTGTTGTCTTCTTACTGTTCATATTTTCAATCTTCTTTTTCTTAGATAAGTCCTTTTAACATTTCATATAATAAGGGCTTGATTGTATTGAACTCCTTTAACTGGACCTTATCTGGGAAGCACTTCGTGTGCCCTTTCATTCTAAATAATAGCCTTGCTGGATAGAGTAATCTTGGATGTTGGTCCTTTCCTTTCATGACTTTGAATGCTTCTTTCCAGTCCCTTCTTGCCTGCAAGGGTTCTTTTGAGAAATCAGCTGGTAGTCTTATGGGAACTCCTTTGTAGGTAACTGCCCCCCTCTTCTTGCTGCTTTTAAGATTCTCTCCTTATCTTTCCATCTTGGGTAATGTAATTAGGATGTGCCTTGGTGTGTGCTTCCTTGGGTCCAACTTCTTTGGGACTCTCTGGACTTCTTAGAAATCTTGGAAATCTATTTCCTTTGCCAGATTGGGGAATTTCTCCTTCATTATGTTTTCAACTAAGTTTTCCATTTCTTGCTCTTCCTCTTCTCCTTCTGGCACCCCTGTGATTCAGATGTTAGAACGTTTAAAGTTGCTGCAGAGGTTCTGAAGCCTCTCCTCATTGTTTTGAATTCTTGTTTCTTCATTCTGTTCCGGTTGAATGTTTATTTCTTCCTCTTAGTCCTAGCCATTGATTTGAGTCCCAGTTTCTTTCCCATCATTGTTGGTTCCTATACAATTTCCTGTATTTCACTTTGCATAGCCTTTACTTTTCCCTCTATGCGGTGACCATACTGAACCATTTCTGTGAGCATCCTATTTACCAGTGTTTGGAGCTCTGCATCTGACACATTGGCTATCTCTTCATTGCTTAGTAGTATTTTTTTCTGGAGCTTTGATCTGTTCTTTCATTTGGGCCATATTTTTTTTGTCTTGGCCCACCTGTTACATAGTAAGGGGTGGAGCCTTAGATATTTGCTAGGGCAGGGCAACCCACCTGTCACTGCTTTGTGACGCTGTTTGTGGGGATACATGTGAGAGGAAACAGTGCTGCTTGCTAGACCCTGCTCTCTGCTGGCTTTCAGTCATGTCCTCTGCTACCCACATGCTAATTGAGAACTTATGGTACTGATTCCTGTGTGGTTTTGTGTATGTTCTAGGACCCTGTGGGTGTCTCCAATGAACTCCTGTGAGACTGAGAGTTTCTCCTGCCACCTCGACTCCCACAGGTTTTTTCACTTAGAGATTTTGAGGCTTTATCCCTCCCCTGCCCCCCAGAACCGTGGATTGCATGGTCTGTCTCACTCCCCAGTTGTTTTTACTCATTTATCTTCATGCAAATGTGGGAGTGCCTGCTCTGCCATCCTCCACCTTGCCACAGGTCCTCTCCAACCCTGCTGCCCATCTCTGCCCCTCCAACTGGTCTGGATGGACCAGTTTTTTCTTTAACTCCTTGGTTGTCGGACTCCATTCAGTTCAATTTTCTGGAAGTTCTGGTTATTTTTGGTTTTAAATTTGCTGTTCTCCTTTTCGTTGTGCAAGGAGGCCAAGTGTATCTACTTACACCTCCATTTTGGCCAGAAGTTTTAGCTTTCTTGTTTATTGCTTTGATCTGTATGTCTGTCTTCATAATAATACTACACTATTGTTTAGTGTAGCGTTGAGGTAGGTTTTGAAACAAGAAGGGTCTTCAGGTTTGTTTATTTTCAAGATTGTTTTGGCTATTGGGATTCTTTGAGATGCCATATGAATTTTAGGATGGCTTTTTCTACTGCAAAATATCTCATAGGGATTTTGGCAGGGGTTGCATTGAATCTTTAGATTGCTTTAGGTAATTTTATTAATATTTTTAATAATATTAAATCTTCCAATCCATGAACTTGAGATGGGTTTCCATTTAGTTATATCTTCTTTAATGTCTTTCAGTGATATCTTGTAGTTTTCATTTTACAAGTCTTTTACCTTCTTGGATAAATTTAATTCCTAAGTATTATAGTCTTTTCATTGTTACTGTAAATGGAATTGTTTTTGTAACTTCTTTTTCAAATTGTTTATTGTTGGTTTGTAGAAATGCATCTGATTTTTGTGTGCTGAGTTTGTATCTTGCTACTTTGCTGAATTCATATGTTAGTTCTAACAGGTTTTTTTGTGTGTGTGTGGATGAAATCAGGAGGGTTTTCTACATATAGGATCATATCAGTACAGTAGCAAACAAAGATAATTTTACTTCTTTCTAACTCAGATGCTTTCTTTCCTTGCTTAATTGCTGTGGCTTGGAGTTCTATTACTATGTTGAATAAACGTGGTGAGAGTG